TTTTTCAAAATATTCCACTACATTCTTCACTAAGTACAATAATCTCATGATCTATAAATTTTCTCTTTTTATTTAAATCTTCATTCATAAATTTGGCATAACTTGGCATATGTTCCAAAGCCTCAGCAAAATTGATATTAATTATAAGCTTCTTGAATATTTCAAAAAATTTTAAAATTGTCGATCTAATTTTTTCGATCTAATTTTTGTTATTTAAGTCTTTGAGGAAAAGGTGGTGGGGGTATTTCTAATTTAATCTTACTTGGAGAGTTAGGTGTTTCTACTTCTTTAAGAATAATTTCTTTAGGTCTCTCAATTTCTTCAACTTCTCTCACAACTTCAATCTCTTTTCGAACTCCAACATTTAATTCCTTTTGATTCCTTAAATGTAATGCTTTAACTTGCTCTGACTCTTTACTTTTATCTTTAGGATTGATCTCTACATTACTAAGAAGTGTTTCTTGAGGTCTTCTTCTAAGTGCGTTAGCAATTTGTCCCAATTTATTCTCCATATTTCTAATAGCAGCACTTTGACTTTGTAGATGATTACCCATCTACAACACCACTTCTTCTATAGATAACTAATTCTCCTTAACTTGTTGATTAAATCTAGGAGGACAAGTAGGTCTAAAATTAGCACTACCCTAGTTGTTCCCATTTCTCAATGGGTTTACTTGAGCATTCCCCCATTGTTGACTTCCACCACTAGGATTGTTGTTCCAATTGAAGTTAGGATAGTTTTTCCAACCTAGGTTACCATAATTGGAATATGGGTTATTGGGTATGTTGATAGCATTTATATTTTCCATTGAAGTATGAGAATCAATCATTTGTTCTAATGAATTTTCTTCAACCATTTGGGGAGTTGCAGAAAAATTCAATCCAATTTGGTCTTTCTTCTTAGATAATGCAACAACTTGACATGCAATCATTGAAAAACCATCATTATCATGAATACTGACTACTTTCTTAGGATTTACCCTATCAGAAGACAATTGAAAATTATTTGTAGTCATTTCTTCAATTAATGAATTAGCTTCATCAAATGGTTTAAACATTAATGAACCTCCAGCAGCAGTATCTATAATAGATTTAAGAGATTCTATTAACCCATTATAAAAAGTTTGAATGATTAATCAGTCTGGTAAAACATGATGTGGACACTTTTTAAGGAGTTCCTTAAATCTTTCCTAAATTTCATATATAGTCTCTCCTTCATACTGAGTAACAGAAGTAAGATCATTTCTAAGCTTCGTAGTTTTTGAATGTGAAAAATACTTAACCAAAAATTTTTGAGCTAAGTCTCCCCAAGTTCTAATAAATCCAGGTGCTAACAAATTTAACCAAGTCTTAGTTTTATCCCTTAATGAAAAATGAAAACATATAAGTCTAACTGACAGCATTGTTTGATACAATATCATAGTTAAATGTAGCACACAGTTCTAAAAAACTAGCTAAATGTAAATTGGGATCCTTAGATGATGTCCTCTAAACAGATTATTTTGTACCATTTGGATAATTGGAGGTTTAAGTTCAAATGAGTTAGTCTCTACAATAAGAGTTTGAATACATAAATGAATTTCATCTACTGTAGAGTTTGCAAAATCCCTTAACAATTTTTATAAATCATGATATTCATTTTCAACAGCTTGAATTTCAATATTATTTTGTGATGTGTAGTCATTTCTTTAGAATTATAAAGACTTCATTGTTTTTGAATTTTCTAATAGTTCATTCCAATTCAGAATCGTAATACACTAAATTGTTAGATCCGGAACTATCCAAAATTAAGCATAAACAATGTAAAAATTGCAGAAAATAAAATAACACACCAAAAATGAAAGATATGTTTTTTTGAATTTTTAATTAAATTTTTTTCAGGTTTTTAAAAATTTTCAATTTTTTTTATTTATTTATTTTTAATTTACAATTCAAATAAAATTGTAAGTCGAAAGGGTTCGTTACACTCATCGGCAACGACGCCAAAAACTTGACCCAATCTACAATTACATGTATATTTAGTCTCCAAAATTTGCCAGAAAATATATCTCAAATTATATCTAGCAGCTAGTGTGAACAAATGTAATGATTTATAATAGATTTTCACACTAGCGGTACTATGCAAGTATACGTATCATTTCAAGTAATAAAATATTTTTCTTAAAAATCACAGTATCGATCCCACGAGGAATGCAGTAACTCTTAAAACCAACTTACAGAAATTCTATTTAAATTGCAACTTAAAAAAAAAGAGGTCTAAAATGATATGCTTACTAAAAATTACTATTAAAGAGTTAATATATAAAGTAACAACTAAATGTAAGAGCTTAACAAAATATAACAACGAGTTTGGATATTAAGAAAATTCTTTCCTCTTGCAAAGAGATTTTAATCTCTTTAGGATTCAAATGACTTAAGAAAAAATTGAGGTATTGTGACAAATAGAAGATTACCTTATTTTTTACCCCCTCCAGGTGCTAGCAAAGAACATTAGCTAACTTAAGACCAATTCCTTAACATCTCAATTCAACATCAGAATTATCTAGCCTCTCACCTCTAGATGCTTCTATGCCTATGCCACCGTGATGCCTGAATCCCGATGTTAGGGTACTAAATCTTAAGCCAAATTGATAAGAATTTAGTCTGTCACTCTGGATCTAACCAATTTTACACTCATCAAAACTTATCTCCCTATTTATTTGCACTCCCCTTAGGTGATCACAATGGCTCTGCCTAGAATGAAGTATGATATCCACTAGTTGGGTGAAATCATAACCCTCACAGGTCATATGTTTTTCAACAGATTTTAATCTCACAAGTGGTCAATTTGTAAAGTAAATGAAGATTCAGTGAAAATACCATCAAAATTTTTAAGAGTAAAGAAAAATCTTTAAATCATTCCCATCTCACGAGATTAAATCCCATATGCAAGAATAAAGAAACAGAACTACTCAGAATTCATGGAGATTAAACACAAATAAAACATTTGCATTGAAATCCAAGTCTTACAATAAAAACTTAAACACAAATACTAGGTACATTATGTCTTCTCCCTAAGTAAACTTTTAGAGTTTCCTTTAAGCAACATTCACACTTAAAACACACTCACACTTACACTTGAACACAAAATATGAAAAACTTAATTCACTATTGCCACCCAATTGAAGTTTTGAGGCTCCGAAAGGTCTCTAAATTGGCCAAATCCTTCTCATTAAATAAAAAAATAGAAAATAACCAAGGGTTGCTTTAAACACCCCTCCAAAATTCGATCAAATTCTATGTATCTTCTAGAAAAGTAGTTAGTTGCACTATAACACCAGTCTAGGGCGCTATAGCGCCCATCTCGCTCGTCTGTGGTGCTATGACGCTAAGGGGTGGTGTTATTGCGCCACACAAAAATTTTCAGTTTTACTCCATTTTTCCCTCATTTTCTCTAAATATCGATTCATTGTATCTGAAACAAAAAACATGCAAAATACCTTCCTTTAAAATAAAATACCTTCCTTTAAAAAAAATGCAATATCATTAAAAATGTACATAAAAGGCTTATAAAATTTTCACTAAAAACATATTATTTTTAGGTGGATCAAGGGAACCATTAGAATCCTATCTATTTGGTGGATGACTTCGAGAGACGTCTGATACTTAAATGGGAAATATTGGGAAACCCCTTGAGTAGAATGAAGTTGAACTCTTCTATATTAAGAGAGCTTGCCTTGGAGCACTCCTAGGATGGGTGACTTCTTGGAAGTTACACCAACGAGGCGAAGTTGTGAGGCCACTAAGCCAGAGAAGGCAATACCTTGATGGGTGAGACTTCGAGCTATCACAGGATTGACCTATGCTCGAATAATATTTGAACCATATTATGATCTTATTAAAATTTTGCTTAATCATTGCTTTTAGAATGCTCATCCTTTCTAAAATTTTATTGGAACCTTATTCCCATCATCTTAAACCTTTGTTCAAATCATATTTGAACTATGATCGAATCATAGTTGAATCTTGTCTAAACATTTTTTGAACTATGTTTAATTCTTTTTAGAGCCATGCTTGAATGATACAATAACCCTATTTAAATATCACTCGAAATATTTCACAAACTATGTTTGAACCTTATTTGAACAATCATTGAATATTTTTTGTAACCTTGCTTGAAATTTGTTTGATTATTATTCAAATATTGTTCAAATATGATTAGAAATGGTTTGAATAAAGCTCTTCATATTTGTAACACGTAATTCAATGTCAAATGTCATTCTGAGTTTAAGGTTTTGAGTGCGAATGAAATACTTAAATTTAAATAACCAAATGAATGACATAATTACTATTAAGCAAATGATGACTAGAATATATGTGGACTAATCACACCACTCGAGGATCATTGGATAAAGAAGGTGCTAGAAACGGGATCAATTGAGCAACTTCTTGTTCAAAAGTTCATGTGGCTATTCATTTAGGGGTTCAAATCCTATTTAAATATTAGTAGGGGCAACTTGTCAAAAATGAACTTAAGAAAAATTGCTCAAAAAATGAAAAGAAAAAATAAAAAGAAAAAGAAGCACCAATAGCTAGCATACTTCGACATTTAAGCTAGTATGAGGCCTATACAATTACAATTTCTAATCCGATTTTTATTTCAGAGATTTACATACAAATCACACAATTCTCATGTGTTTATGTATTTAATACCTAAATTTTTATATTCAGATACATAGCACTTTAGTTTTATATTATAGTCATATTACAACACACAAATGAGAAACATATATTTCACTTCGTAAAGCTTAAAATAAATGATATTTTAATATCATTTAAAATTTCTGGTATTATATACATAAATATTAATATCTAAATACTATATATAACTATATATTAGAATTATATGATACTGATGTAAATACCGTACTTTTATTTATATTTAGATTTTTCAATTTTTATTTTTTTATTTTTTATAAATTTGAGGGTTAAAAGATGCTGGCCACAGAAAAGCAATCCACGACTTCCCTCGATCACCTTTTTCGTCTCCTGCTCTCCTCTTAAAATTTCTTTTAATGATTGGAAGATGGCCAACAGCATGTGCTCCTCGCCGAGGGATCTCCCATCGGCTGTAAGTTCTTCTTAGATTCCTTTGTTTTCAATTTTTACAAACTGAAAGGTGTCGCCTTACTGGCGAAGAGAGACTTTTTTTCTTGCCGTTTGAATAAAAATTCCTGTTTTTTCTTGCTGTGGAGTATTTGAACAAGGCATTTTGGAGTAGAGATCAAAACCATTAGAAGAAATATATTTTTTCTTGCTGTGGAGTCACTATAATACTAGAATCTTTCTGACAAAAATGTCATTATTGCTTTCACGAACAACAAACTTTCCGGCATTTCTGATGCTATGGGGAGAATGAGAGAGAGAAAATGGCATGGTTTCAATCTAAGGGGCTGTCTGGTGACAGCTTTAGTAAATCCTGTAAATTTGGATTTAAAACAAAATTTAGAGGAATTGAGAAGAAACTGGATCTTCTAAGCGCAAGCTTTAAAATTTTCCCTTTTTTGCAGGCAGATTTAAGTTAAATTCCACTTAAATCCATCACCAGACAGCTCCTAAATCCATATAACTCGTTAACTATCTTTTTGATATGTTTAAGGTCATGCAATCAGCGATATGGATGCAAGCCCTTGCTACATACTAATTTTGGTTGATCTAATTAGGATGAGCCATGAATTTCCCTGAGTTGGTAATTATATCTTTGGTTATCCTAAACTCTGAGTGGTTGTGATATTTAGCTACAAGGAGGAATCTAAAGAGATTTTGAAGTGCAAAAATATTAAACCATCGTTTGCCAAAAAGGAGAGCAACACTGGAAAAAGGTCAATAAGAAATGCAGGCTGCGGGGTCAAACCCGCTGCCCGAGATATAAGAAAAATGCGGCTTGCTGCGGTAAAAATATCGTCCCAAACTGGCCCTAAGTGCTAGTTTTTATTGATGCGGTTTTAAGAAAAATGCGTCTCGCCGCGGCAAAACCGTCACCACAAACGGGCCCTGAGTGCTTGTTTTTACTGATTCTCATAAAGAGGCCAACTTTCCCATTTGTCAAGTAAGAATGGTTGTGATATATAGTTGTAAGAAGGAATCCAAGAGATTTTGCAGTGCAAGCATATTAAGTGCATAGGAGTGCATCTAACAAAGTTCAGGTGAGCTAGCCTTGGCTTGAAAACAAAATGTTGAAGAGTAATTGGACTCGAACTTTATAGTCAAAATCGAATTATCACTTTAATTTACCTAACTTGACCATGCACCAATTGGTTCCGAGCCATTTAAAACCTTTTTGAGTTAACTTAAAATTATGCAAGTACAACTCACGACTAAAATTTCACTTTACCTCAATCCCAAGCTACCTTGAAATAACTCAAATTGTTCAACACATGATAAACATGATTGACATTACTAACACCCAAAATCAAAGCAATATAACATATATACAACTTTGAAACACAACATAAAAGGAAAATAGGTGTTATGAACTCAATAACACCCAATTACATAAGAATAACACTTGAGCAACTACCATTGTGTAATTCAGTACCATAAAAGACATCAATAACACCCAAAATCAAAGCAATACAACATTACGTCCGAACTCCAAACTGATGTCATTTGTGGTACTGAATTACACAGTGATAGTTGCTGAAGTGTTATTTTTGTGTAATTGGGTGTTATTGAGTTCATAACACTTATTTTTATTTCCTGTTGTGTTTGAAAGTTCTATATGTGTTGTATTGCTTTAATTTTAGGTGTTACTCATGTTTTTCGTGGTATTAGATGTGTTTAAACTCTTTAATATCTGACTAACATAGTGGTAGTACTGTGGTGATATTTTGGTGTTATTTGTTATTGCATTCATAACACCTATTTTTTTTTCTTGTTGTGATATTCTGGTGCTCTTATTTTCATTCCCTTCTTTTGTAGATTTTTGAACGTAAGGATATTCAACTGTAGATGTCGTTCTTTTTCTGCAGTAAAGGGTGCTTTGAATACCGTCAGACATTTTGTTTCAGAGGAGACAATGAATTCTTTGAAAGAAATGAATGTCTTTCATTTATTTGATATGTCTCCATATCCTCGGGACAATGTGTTGACATTACATATTTTGACATGTTGGGATAATGAAAGGAGGGTGTTCAGAATGGGTGGAAAAGAAATTAAATTGCATTATGAGCACTTGATGTTCTTCTGCAGTAAATGGTGCTTTGGATACCGTCAAACACCTTGTTTCAGAGGAGACAATGGATTCTTTGAAAGAAATGAATGTCTTCCATTTTTTTGATATGCCTCCATATCCACAGGACAATATGTTGATATTACACATTTTGGGATGTTGGGATAACGAAAGGAGAGTGTTCAGAATGGGTGGAAAAGAAGTTAAATTGCACCCTGACCACTTGACGTTGATATAACATATGCCTAACAAATGGGAGGTAGTTATTTGGAAGAAAACCCCTCTTCTTATGTGGATGTCAGACAAATAAAGGATCAACTGATCAAATTTTTTGTAGGAGGATCTTCCATTCCCTTTGAGAAGTTATGCTTGAATTTTTTACTAATGAATTTATTTTTTCCCTCGAACAATTTTAGTGTGCCCGCAAGGCCTATTTCTTTTGGCGAAAATGTACAGTTATTTTCTTCTTATAGTTGGTCCGCTATCATCTGTGACTTTATCATTGATCAAGGAGCATTACCACCGTTAAATTAAGACGCAATCAGTCAATGGGATACATCGAGAGATTTGTTTTTGTTTTAACGGTAAGTATATATTGTATACAATAGATATTATGCATTCTGAGATTATTTCTAGTTGTATTTGTTTTGACATACAACAATAAAGATTCACGAAGCGTTTAAAAAACTTGATCATGCAAAAGTTAAAATTTACTTAATTATATTTTTTAATGTTTTAGTTAGTGATTTATTTCACTGCTATTCTGAATTGATTATGGACATTTTGAATTGCAATGTAGGTTTATGATTCTTTCATAGATTTGAAAGAAGATGAGCAACATTTGCTCTCCAACTTGGAACAGGGACAACTGAGTTCTGCCAGGGTGGTCCCACGTCATGAAACTGCTGCCAGACCTTCTTCAGCCCTATACCGATTGTTTCCAGCGAACTTACCCTGAAAGCCACATATACAACAAGTAATAAAGAACTTAAATTAATAATGGTGCTATTGAAAGCTCAGGAAAAGACAAGTTTTGATTAATAAGAATCTATGAATACAATCAATAAACAAATGTCTTATGTAAGCGATACATTAAACAACCTAACAAATATGGTTGAAAGATTAGAAAGAACCAAAACAAATAAAGAGGTTGAAATACAGACAACGGGAACACACAAATCCTCTGTCTGAAGTGTTAAGTCCACCCAGAGGATGAAGGAAGTGGGTTCACCTGAGTTTACATACCAATTAAAAAGAAAGAAAAAAAACTGATGTTGTTGAGCAGCATTATTTGGGAGATGTCCCAGACATTGATACAGAGAATTTAATTGATAAAGAGAATATAGTAAATAACGATAATATAGGTGTACATACTACCAGATGGAGATGATCAGATGATAGTCACCGGAAAGAATAAAATATGTTGAAGACAATGTATTCACGGGCGATGCGACACTTCAGGAAGATTCTAAAGAGGTTGAATGATAAGTGAAGGGTGTTCTAGAGTCACTCACCCATCTAGCAAATAACTATTTCTATTGTCACCCCCATCTTCTAATATTACATTAATTTTGTCAAAGTTTTATTATTTTGTAGGCTCTTCGAGCATCGTCTTTTGTAGATTCCTCCAGCACTTAAGCTGTAAACAATTCTTTTCGAGAGCAAACATTAATAGAAGTTGTATATAGTCCTGTTGGAGAACCAACAATGATAGAAGCTATACATAGTTCTGCTGGAATAATAAAAGATGCACAGTTTTGTTGACAATGAAGCCTAAGAGGGGCAACAAGCACTAATAATTGCAGACGATAAATAATAGCCCAATCAAGAAGACATAGATGTAGCGAGCCAGATCTCCCATTCAAACGACTACGCACTAGTAGTACTAATAATTAGTCATTTCTGCTCTTAATCATATCTTTAAATTTCATAGAAATGTTACGAGTATTGAATTCTTTTGTAGCGTCGTACTATGGCCTCAGTGATTGATTATCTTGCTAGATCATTAATTCCAGTTGCAATGCAGGATGTAATAGATAAGTGTATTGCCAGCTACCTCGGGGTGTAAGTAAATGTTCAAAAATATTATAATGTTTAGAAGCCGTGCTGATATTAAATTGTAACAAAAATTCTTTGTTAACGATGCATACATGATCTCATCCTTAATAAGAGGAAAGCAGTACTGGATCGTGCTGGATTGGAGGATATATTAATGGAGCGTTGGTTCGAGAGCGAACATGTTGATGTTTGGAGTATTTTTCAGATGTAGTTGTTGAATTATTAAATTTGTAACACAAACAACACAATAACAAAAAAATAACAACAAATTGACACTTTAACGGAATCATCCAACTAGTCAAAAGGGTAAAAATAATAATCATGCAAACATGATAAGTGTGTCAACAAATAAAACTAATAATTACAATGAATCATAATAAATTAGAGCTCACTTATAGAATCCATCAACAGTCCGGTGTATGTTTGAGTTGATATTTGCAACGCATAATTTTCCTGTCATATTGTAAACAAAACAAGTTTTAGAATAACCCAATTAATAACACAACCAAAAACACCACATCAAGACCATAATCAACAACAAAACAACAACACAATTATAAAGCAGAAATAACACAATATCACTAGCACAAATCAAATAACGCCAGTATAATACCATAGTAACACGAGAATAACACCACAAATAACTAGCTCACATGCATACATGAGAATATTTCGAGGATAAAACCAAATAAACTAAAAAAATACGACAATAACATCCAAAAAACAAACAATAAAAAGAAAATAGTACACAAGAAAAACAAAACAATACTATCATATTAAGACTAACAATAATATCATAATAATACAACAAAATAGTTAAATAATACAACAATAAAAAAACC